AGCTTCGAGCCCAGGCTCCACGACCGCCGCAGGCACCCGCCCACCAGACCCTGCCCGGGGCAGCCCTGCCTGTTCGGACCCTGCTGCTGATGACACCTGGCGGAAGGCCACCATGGAGGGGGATGGTTCAGACTCACTGGTGAGTGGGGGAGGACCGTCGCCCCCACTTCTACGGCGGCGTGCCGGGGCCCCGGGTCTTTCCCCTTCCTCCGCCCTGAGCCGGGAGGGAGCCTCTCCCCGAGAAGTGAGGGCTGGCGTGGGTGGCCCCGCTTCCTCTTCGCCTTCCCCGCCCCGTGCCAGGTTCCGCAACCCGGGGAGCTCCCTCTCAACCCCCCAGAGGGCCGGACTCGGGTCCCCCGGGCCCTGAGGAGCGCGCAGATCCGGCGATTGCCCACCTGAGCAACTGGGGAATCCCGGCGGGGCTCGTTAATGGGGCCCAGGCTGTAGAATGGGTTGCTTTGGGGAGCCGGGTGCGGGCCGAGGGCCGGGGCGCGTGTGCGACCGCCCTTTGTCTGGAGCGCCGGGGGCCCGCGCTCGAGTCCGGCTCGGACCCCCGCGGGTCTCGCCGCCTCCAGCTGAGGCTCCTCCCGCCTCTGCCTGCTCGAGGGGGGCGGGCCGGCGCCCTGCAGCTGTCGGGGCGCAAGTGTTTTTTTGTTTGAAGGGGTAGGATGTACATTTCTTCCAAAGTTTCTCCACGATCCCCTTGGGAACCGCTTAATTGAGGAAGCCAGCACATCACATTTCTCTTAATCAGATTGTTTCCCCCTCTATGAATATAGGATAAACACTCATTTGTCTTTTGGGTAAAAAATGCTGTGTGTCCATTGTGATTAAAAAGCCATATCCAAGTTACTGCTTCACGTGCCAGAAAAATGGAAATGATTTTAGACTTCCTCCCGTGAGAGGTAAACTTTAAATTTTGAACATCCAGGACAATATTTTTCTTTGAATTAGGTGTCAAACCCTTTGTGAAATGATATAGGATGTGAATATCTATATTCTTTGATGTGAATTGTGAGGTGTGATTATCTTATTTCCAAATTTATGAACGTTGTGATGTGATGTGGCTTTTTATCAGACATTTGAGTCATGCAATAAGGGGCACTGCATTGACAGACTCACTGACAGTGATACAGCAGGTTGGTTCTAAAGCTGTTAAATTGTCAGGGGTTATTAAGGTACTTTGTGTCTGCTTTAGGGAGAATAGGTGAGCATACATTTTTATTCCATGACAACATGTGAATTCAGTTTTAATTTTCTGTATATTTCTCGTAGTTGGAATGATTGCCCAAGGTTATGAGTACTTTAATGTTGGACTGTCGTTAAAATTGCAAGGATGCTGACTATAAAATTCATACATTTGAAGTTTGGGATATATGAAAAAAAAATACATAGATGGGAAAACGACTGTGAGATCATCACCCTTTTTTTGTTGTGTTGAGTTGAAAATGTTTCTCATTTAGAATAATGAAGTATTTTAGAGCACTAGTAGTATTGAGAGCACTTACAGTGGTCATTCTACATACTTTTAAGAGTCCTCTACACTCATTTAATATTCATGAAGTGCTTTTAAGATAGCTGCTTTGATATACAGAATGAACCTCATGCATTTTAGCAGTATTCTAGTTGCAGTATATGAAAAATGGTCATGTTTAATGTAGACAATTGCTGATAATTCAGCTTATAAGTAGATTTCAACTAGAGTTCCATAGATGTACTGACTGACTTCATTTTTAACAGCTCTTATTTTTTCGCCAGTCACAGAGTTAATTCACTAAATAGTGATATAGTCTTACTCACAGAGCTGTATTGAGAATTTTTATTAAAGTAATCTACTTTTAGGATTTCACTGAAGTCCTAATTAATGAATTGTTCATGATTTGAATGATGACTTTATTCTTTTTGATAAAATATTATGGTCTCTTAATATGTTATATAATTTTTCCATATATACATATGTATAAATATATATAGATAGGTTTTTCCCCCCCCTTTTACTATCTCATTTCCCTTTAGTTCTAGGCTATGGATATTGAGGGGGAGTTGATGATATCAAATTATATAGTTGAAAAGGAACTTTAGATTTATAAAACTTAATTTCTTAATTTTTCTTGGGAAGGTAAACATGTATTTGTACAAAAGGTATAATAATGTTAATGTATTTACCCATTAAGAGCCTTTACTATGATTTTTTTCTCTTCAATTTAAGGTTACCATTAAGAATATCGAAAGAGAGCTCATTTGCCCAGCATGCAAGGAGCTGTTTACCCACCCATTGATTCTCCCTTGTCAACATAGTATCTGTCATAAATGTGTAAAAGAACTCTTACTGGCTCTTGATGATTCATTCAATGATGTGGGATCAGACAACTCCAATCAGGGCAGTCCTCGACTTCGGCTCTCCTCCCCTAGCATGGATAAAATTGACAGAATTAACAGACCAGGTATGGTAGAACTTTGGACTGGGAATGGGGGTGGAGCAGGTTGGCGGGGAGCTTATAGGTATATATTCAGTGATTACTGTTGATGCAAAATGAATTTTGTCATTTTGAGGGTTAATTTTTCTGGGTGAATAAATCAAAACTAGTTATAAAAGGTTCTACTACCCATTAAAAATGTCAAAATGAACTCTTGCTGTCTTTTGATACTCAGTTAAAGTGGATATTGGTTCTTGAACACCAACTTTGTGTTAAACTCCTTATTAACCATGTCTGTATTTTAGGAGATGTTTTGACCCTGTGATGTCCTTGACATAATAAGATAATGGACTACTGAACTGCTAACTAGGAAAACATTCATATGTAGTAATAGTTAATAAATACTGTAGATTTAAGAAAGAAGTTTACATAATGACTAATCCTAATTAATTTTTTAGAGGAATTATTTTATATCATTTTATCCCACCTGAGAATTTTATTTTCCTCATCCTTTTTAAATCTATTTTTAAAACAAGGATTTTAAGCATCATGCACAGATGTAGAATTCTGTAGTAATGTATAGAAGATCTAATTTGATGTGTAGCACATATGTCCTATCATATAGCCAATGATTAAATTGTTGAAATCACTGGGGATGCTGAAATTCAAGGCCAAGTCCTAAAACAAGGTGGTGGAAATACCAGTCTCATGTTAGGCATGTCCAATTTGGGCCTTTAGGCTTTAAGTTTAATACTTTTGTCCACTCTTTCTCTAAGTTGCATTTTAGAAAATGTTATCTTCTTTTGATCTATCCTGTGATATTGGGTCTCCTTGGGTGATATTTATGTTTATGTACTCCATCAGAGAGTAGAAAAGAGTATAATTGTTTTAATGTGATATTATGCTATTTTAAAAACATTTTTTGGTCAGGCGTAGTGGCTCATGCTTATAATCATAGCACTTTGGGAGGCCAAAGGCAGGAGGATTGCTTAAGCCAGCATTTTGAGACCCTCCTAGGCAACAAAGAAGGACTTTATCACTACAAAAAATAAAAAAAATTACCTAGTCTTGGTGGTGCATGCCTCCTGTAGTCCCAGCTACTCAGGAGACTGAGACGGAAGGAACACCTGAGCCCAAGGTGGTTGAGGCTGTGTTAGCTGTGAGCAGGCTATTGCACTCCAGCCTGGGTGACAGAGTGAGACCCTAACTCACAAAAAACAAAAGCAAAAAAACACTTTTTTTTTTTTTAAATGGCAGTTACGAATTACTTGGAAGCTATTTTGCACATATAGAAATTGTATATACCAAAAAGGGAGCAGGATCAGGCAGGTTGTGAGAGTGCAGGGAGTAAGTATGAGGACAGAGAGGGTCATGCTCATTGTGAGGTCATTACTTTTATGTTTCCCTCCTCGCTACCAATCTGGCACTCTCAGAGGGGAAAGAGAGCATCACTTGAAATAATCCTACCGGATGAAATTTGATATTCTATTGGTGGATCTTTATTGGCCAGATAGGGACCACTGCTTGATTGACCAAGGAAAATTTACTTTTTGTATGTTAATACTTAATACAAACAATTAAATGGAATTTTAGTTATGTACTAGTATTTCTACTTATAATTAGATTGCACTCACATACGTATTTAATGAAATCTTGTATTTTATGTGAGCTTTTAATCTTAAGATTTGGTTAGTTTTTATATATGATTCATGTGAAATACTAGATGAAAGTTAACTTTGTGTTTCTGGGAATTTTACCTACCATGGTACTCTGAGTGCTTAAATATTTGTTGAATAACAAACCTCTGCTACAAGATTCATACAAAGAACATGCCACAGTGGCTTATGTTCAGTAATAGCGGCTTTTTTTTTTTTTTTAGAATAAGAGTTCAGTTCCACCATATATTTCATTGTCTAGGCCAGAAATGGAATTACTGAGAGATTCCTCCCTCTTCTTTAGGAAGTACCCTATGAATCCTATAAAGTTGAATTATGTCCTGAGGGGGGATTCTAGAATGGTGAAGAATTTAGAAACTTTACTGTGAAGAACTGTACAGGAGAGGAAAAAGGATGACCACAGAATATGATGGTTGTCTTATGGATGGAAGCATGGTCGTCTTTAGCAAAAATTCCAGATCAATGTGAAGGTAGAACAGGAAGACGGATTTTACTTAGCATTAAAAGAAGACAAACACACTCATCTACGGTTGTCTAGAAATGAAGTGAACTGCCTAATTCTATCAGATCCCTGTTGCTAGAAGTGTTTAAATTAGGTTTCAAATTTAGGTGTTGCAGGGACCAAATAGGTGCATTAATGAAGCAGGCCCCAGACATAATAAATACAGGACTCTTTTTTATTTTACTTCTTTGATATAGAGACAATGTTTCATTTTCTCAGTAATTCAACTACTTATAGGAAAACCACCAGTGCTCAATTGTCACCAGCCACCTGACATAGGCCTCCCTGTTGGAGAGGTGGGGAGTGGCTGGGGATTGTGAAGACTAAAGTGATTGCCTTTAAAAGGTACGGTAGCCACTTGGCAGTAGTGAACTATCATGTGGGGTTGGGAATGCCAGCTGTTGTCAGATCTATTGGTTTTTCACAGAAACTTGATAGTGTTTTTTATTGAAATCTTTTTAAAAAACATTGAAAATTCAAATTATTTAAAATTATCATGCCAATCAACATAGGGCAGGACAGCCAAAACATATCTTTGATTCTGACCCATTCAGCTTTTAGGCCATTGGTGTTTGCAGTCTTTGTTTTAAACAAAGTAGATGGATGGGTGACTACTGTCTGTAAATATTGTAGAAGGCATTTCTGTTTTGGGTAGTAGGTTGGGCCAGTTGTTCAATTATTTTCCAGATCTCCAGCATTTAATTTCTATGCCTTACTGAATACCAGTTGTGTTCATGCATTCAACAAATATTTGAGTGTCCCCTGGTTACGAAATATGGCTAAATGCTGAAGAGTGATGAACAAGATAGACCTAACTTCTTTCTTTAAAGACACATATAGCCTAGCATTGTACAAAGTTTCATAGAGATGTTCTTTATCAAGAACACATAGATTGCAAGTTATGTGTTGGGTCCTCCAGAGAGTGAGATTGTTTCAAGTATGGTAGTTATTTCTGGAGGTTTTTAATCAGATGAATGCACATTTTGGGATTGCACTTCACATGATCACCAACTTAAACTAGTAGAAGACACTGTTTTACAAATAAAATGTTACTTGCCCTCCATTTATTGGGCATTTGCTTATAGTTTTTAAAAAAATAAATGCATGGGTAAGTAATGTTCCTTTTTTTCCTGACGGATTTCTTTTTAATTTTTTAAAAAATCATTTAGACATACTTGAGAAGGAAATCAGAAACCCAGTTCTGAGCAATTGAGGCAGGAGGAATAGAATTCTGAAAATTAGTTTTGCCACTGGCTTAATAAAGTGATTAGTTAGACCTGTACTGTCCAGTATGGTAGCCACTAGCCTCACATGGCTATTGAGTGCTTGAAATGTGACTAATCTGAACTGAGATGTGCTGCAAGTGTAAAATACACACTTAGAATTTAAAAATACTGTGAAATAGTCTTTAATAATTATTCTATTGATTCCATTTTGAAATGTCAATGTTTTGGATATAGTAGGTTAAATAACATGTTATTAAAATTAATTTCACTTGTTTCTTTAATGTGGCTACTGGAAAATCTAAAATTACATATATTATACTTTTGGCTCTTATGTTTTGGATAATGTTGCATTAGACATTTGACAGATTAAAAAAAATAAAAGAGTAGCTTGAAAGGAGAGTAAGATTTGTGTGTAAAACACAATAGCATATTAAATTTTATAAAAATAAAAGCCTGCTGGGCATGGTGGCTCATGCCTATAATCCCAGCACTTTGGGAGGCTGAGGTGAGAGGATTGCTTGAGCCCATGGGTTCGAGACCAGCCTGGGCAATTTGGTGAGACCTCTTCTGTACAATAAATAAAAAAATTAGATGGGCATGGTGGCGCATACCTGTTGTTCTAGCTACTTTGGAAGAGGCTGAAGGACTGCTTGAGCCCAGCAGGTCAAGGCTGCAGTGACCGTGAGCGTGTCACTGCACTCCAGCCTGGGTGACAGAGTGAGACTCCAACTCAAAAAAAAAAAAAAAAAAGCCATATGACTGTATACTTTCGGTCATATATATGTAAGCTCTTCCCTCACCTTGTAGTTTCCTGTTGTCCAAACTAAATCTATTTAGTTTTGGAATTTTTTTAAAAACAATTTTTGGGTCAATAAAAAGTCAAACAAAAGATGCTTGATTTTACTTTGTATTTCCAACAGTTACCAGAAGTATGGTTGCTAAAACTTATAAATCTATAGGATAAAGCATAAGTCTCTTAAGCGTTGTGCCAACAATGATTTATTCTGAATTCTAGTAAAATAGCTTGATGAATGTTTTATATTGCAGGCTACCAGGAAAGACACATTTGTACTGTTAATCCAGTAATTGTACTATGTGCAGAACACAGTTACTGCTTTATCTTTTGTTAACAAGTTGTGAATCTTCTCTTTGAAATTAAATTCTAAATCCAGCTTTCTGTTCATTGTTTACAGCATCACAACGGAGATCTTTGGGGTGGAGAGGTAGAAAATGTTTTATTGCTTTTGTTGGCCGCAGGCAGTATAGCGTTAGAATTAAATTCAATAATCTTGTATACACAATAAGGTTCTCAAACATCAGTGGTCAAGTATTCAAAATTCTGTAGAAAGTGAACAGATTGAACTGAAATGACTTAAAGGTCAACAGGATTAAATTTCCAAGCACGTTCTGATGTTTTAAAGTGGGGAACACTGATTATTGGTGCTTGCATTTTGTCAATATACATGACAAGATATTTTTGAAGAAAATAACTTACTCCTTTTGTTTTTTTTTAAATATATGATATCTTAACAATCCTTTAATTTACTTACTGGAACAAAGCTTGATACTGCTGCATTTAGGAGGTTAAATAAGCTAATACTTCCTTATGTATTGAAAAATTTGATAAAGGTATTGATAATTTTTGTTTAATTTAAGATTAATAGCATAATCTTGCTTGTGTGTATATGGAGTTTTTGTTGTTAATGTTTTAAAGTATTTCATGTCAGAGTTCGTACACTCCTGTTTTAGGCTTTCTAAAATATTTGATTCTGTATGGGCCACCACCTGTCTTATTAAAAATATTTTATTTTTTACTCCAGTTGACCTTTAAAGATTATTGACTTTTTTGTGTGGAATGCTGGCGATACCCTCTATTTCATGGGAGAATAATAAATGGCTCAAATTTACCCCTTTTCTGTCTTCCTCTCCTGCATTTCATGATTTTAAAATCTTATAGCCACTTTTGGAAGCCACATGTAGTATTTTCTCCATAGACTTTTGTGAGTGTGAATTTTAAGTATTGAAATTTAGTAATTAGGAGGTGAGGAGCAGTTTGCTTTATTAAAATTATTACGTGTTTGATTTAGGGGGTATCTGAGAAAAATAATTTATACAGGTTGAAGAATAGTGATATAATACTCAAAGGATGAATGTAGCTCAGAGGCATCAGATAGTCAGAATGTGCCAAAATAAACAATAAGTTGGCAACATGAGATACCAGCCTACTGCCAAGCACCATAAAGTCCAACAGGAATGGCCAGTATGGGGAGAGGTCGTCCACGAACTGGCCAGGGGGTAGCAGTGGGGAAGTTGTGGCCAGAATGTATTTTGAAATACTTTATTTTCTCTTTGTTATTTAAATAGTTAAACAAGTGACTGAAAGCTGATGTTTTTAGGTTTCAGTCAGTCAGTTTAGGTTGCTGTAAACCAACCTGAAAATTTTTTGGAGTTTTATATTTTAAAATTGTGTTATAACTTATGCTTACGTGTTTGTTTTTTTTGAGTTGAGGTCTCACTCTGTCGCCCAGGCTGGAGTGCAGTGGTATGATCATGGCTCACCGCAGCCTTGACCTCCTGGGCTCAGGCGATCCTTCTTCCTCAGCTTTCCAAGTAGCTGGGACTATACGTGTGTACCACCACACCTGGCTAATTTTTTGATTTTTTTTTTTTTTTTTGTAGACCTGAGGTCTCATTATATTGCTCAGGCTAGTCTCAAACTCCTGGGTTCATGCAGTCCTCCTGCCTTGGCCTCACAAAGTGCTGGGATTATAGGTGTGAACCGCCCCACTTGGTGTATGTTTATTTTTTAATCTGTCTTTGAAGTAAAGATATGTGGGGAAAAGAATTTATTCTCAAAGTGGTGGTATTCACATAATTTGTAAGTATTATTGACCCCACAAATTTCAGTTTGATGTATAAAATGATTCTGCTTGGTCTACATTACTTCTTTACTTTTCCAAGCCACCATTACTTTTCCTTTTCATTATATCATGCTATTGATCAGTACTATGAACTTTCTGTGAAAAGAGAAATGTTCAGTCCTGCACTGTGCAACTGGCAACCACATGTAGCTAATGGATACTGTATCTGATAGCACAGCTATAGAAAGTAGAAAGTTGACTCTTACTACATTTTGTTCTTAGTTCCACTGTTTTGATTTTTTTTCCATTAAGTTTATTTCCCAGAATAGCCTTAGATCTCTCCTGTTTTTTTTAATTGCTCTGAACATATAGTCTATTTTTAAAAAATGAAAACAGTGGTAGAAGTATAAGACAGAAGAAATGAAATTTCTTTAACATTCCTAAGGAATAGTTGAAAGCTTTCAAAAACTATTTTAAAAAAATAGCCAAGATAGCTATTTAAATACATTATGTGAAAAATTACTTGTCTTGATTTAATATCTGATAAGAAGTTTGGTGTGATGTTTTACATACCTTATTTTTGACTATAAAAATAAGTTAACAGAGGTATACAGAAAAGGGATAATACTGTTTTCCAAATTTCTGAAGACTAAAATCTGGGTGTTATCAGTGTACATGTTAAAGTATGATTTTGTTGTCATGACTTAATTTTGTTTACCCCATTTCTTAATTGATCACAACCCTCATGAAACCAATAATAAATTATTTTTAACATTATTGAGATATTATCCATTTATTTAAATTTCCATCACCTAGTTCACATGTGCCTGCAATTAAATGTGAATTTCTATTTGTTTAAACTTGACCACTACACTGTATCACTTCCAGATTTGTCTGGCTTGTTTTTTCCCTAAATGAAATTTTCATTGGCATGTATTTTAAAAGGGGCTTTGCTGCTTTATATCATTATATGCTTGCTGTGGTGTGAAATATCTTGGACTGTATTGCATGTTTTTAGAATTATTACAATATATTTTACAATATAGGTAGGACTTCCACATTTTTATGGGGTAACTTTTTCTGTATGCATTAATGTTTAAAAATAAAAAGATTAAAAATATAATTACATGAAGATATGTAACAAACAGGCCATTCTGCATGTTTGTTACAAAAGTAGCTTCTGGGGCCCAGTGCCATTTTAGCATGCTATCAGATCATTTCAAATAAGTAATATTGTGAGCTGATGGCTGAATTTTACCTCCATTGATAACATGCCAGACATCTTTTAAGATATTCTTTTGAAAGCCGGGTGTGGTAGCACGTGCCTGTAGTTCCAGATACTTGGAAGGCTGGGGTAGAAGGATCGCCTAAGCCCAGCAGGTGGAGACTGCGGTGGCCTGAGTGCGCCACTGCACGCCTGGGTGACAGAGTGAGACTCCAACTCAAAAAAAAGAAAGATGAAAAAGATGTTCTTTTGAGTGATAATAGTCATGAGAAAAGACAATATTGATGTAGCTATTTAAAGACCTTTTCTTAATGTGGTTTACTAGTTTAACCATTCATTTTTGGTACTGGATACACAGGAGTATGAAAGAAAGCTGTAAGTTGAGACATTCGGGTTTATGTTAAGGGAGTTATTTTGTAGGCAACTAAGTCTACACATTCTTAAGAACAGATTCATGAGTAAGAGAAGGGAATATGGCATGCTTGCACCTATGGTAAATGGGCAACCCTAGATTCCTGTGAGACAGTCATGCCTGGTTTCATGATTTATTAAAGCCAGGATGATAAAACTGAACAAAAATGTGGTGTTTTAAGGACATTTATTGTATTATATATACGTAAAATTATTTATAGTACTTATTAGGTAACTTTTGGCTTACTGAATTAAGTAATCCTAATGATTCTTTGTTTCAGGTCATAAGAAGATATTAAATGGTTGGTCCCTCTTAAAGTCACTAAATTCTAGTTCTATGAATGATTTTTTCACTCTTCCATAGATTGCACTCAATTAACTAATTATCTTGCCTACTGAATTTTTCTGGATAAAACAATACTGCAGTGGGGAACCCTCTATTATAGTGGTTCTTAAAAATTTTGTGGTCCCATGTTCCTTTGAGAATCTGATAAAAGCTATGGATTTTTAACCAAAATATAATATATATATATAATAACATATATAATATATATATGATATATATGGAAAATTTTATGTGCAATTTCAAATAGTTCATGGATCTGCTTGGAGCCTATACCTGGGTCCTGGGTTCAGGACCCCTGGTCTTTCATGTATCAACTCATTTCCTGTCTGTCAGCTAAGGCTGTGTCCACTTAAATGCCTTTGGGCATGCTGTATAAAAGTAACTATGAATGTTAATTGTATGATTTCAAAACATTTTAACCCCATGTAGTATTGTATATTTTATCTTTATATCTATGTTTGACTTAATATGGGTTTTATATGATTTATATACAGAATATTTTCCTTTTCTCTCTGATTTGGTAACTATTAAATAGTTAATAACTTGGGCTTGTCTTTTGTATACTTAGGAAAGACGGTTTTAAAAAAAAGTGTTTTCAGCTGGACTCAGTGGCTCATGCCTATAATCCCAGCATTTTGGGAGGCGGAGGCAAGAGGATTGTCTGAGCCCACGGGTTGGAGACCAGCCTGGGCAACTTGATGAGATCTCGTCTCTACAATAAATCCAAAAATTAACTGGGTATGGTGGGCATGCCTGTAGTTCCAGCGACTTGGAAGACTGAGGCAGAAGAACTACATGAGCCTAGCAGGTCGAGGCTGCGTTAGCCTTGAGCATCCCACTGCATTCCAACCTGGGTGACAGAGCGAGACTCCTATCTAAAAAAATAAATAAATAAAAATAAAGCATTTTCAGCATTGAATTAATTCAAATGGAGCCACTTTGTGCATTATTTTAGTGATATATTTATAGATATATATCTTTTAAAAATATGATTCCTCTTTTCTTCATTCAAATCATTTGTCTACTGATGTAACTAATAAAAGACTTACACTAATTATACAGGCTGGAAGCGCAATTCATTGACCCCTAGGACAACGACTTTTCCTTGTCCTGGCTGTAAACATGATGTGGATCTCGGAGAGCGAGGAATCAATGGTCTGTTTCGAAATTTCACTTTGGAAACTATTGTTGAAAGATATCGGCAGGCAGCTAGGGCGGCCACAGCCATTATGTGTGACCTTTGTAAACCACCACCTCAAGAATCCACAAAAAGCTGCATGGACTGTAGTGCCAGCTACTGCAATGAATGCTTTAAAATCTATCATCCATGGGGTACAGTAAAAGCTCAACATGAGTATGTAGGCCCAACTACTAATTTTAGACCCAAGGTAAGTAAAGTATTTTTTAAGTTGGACTATTACATTTAATGTTATGAAATAAATAAACTATTATGGGTCTAGATGAAGATAGAAAGGAAATAACTTTAAAAGCAGTTATAAGAGTTTAAGGCCTATTTGTTGGTTATTTAGTATGGAGGCTAAACAGTCCCTACAGCTTAGAAGGCAATATTGTCATTTATTCTATTACAATCCAGTGTGATACGATACAATAAATGAATGTTCATAATGATCACTGTAATAGAGGAAAGGTTATGTGATCTCAGGTATGCTCTCTAAGATTGAAATGGTTGAAGTTAGAAAGTTTTTGTGCTGTAGTGTGATAAACCCATAATTACCTAGAAGTTTGACTAGGAGATTTTTTTTTTGATGTTTTTAATTAGCTAAAATCGTACTATAAATAAAATTGTACTATTGAAGCATGTGATATAATATCTTAGGTAGAATTTGAGTAATATCTTTTAATAATGCTCAAAAGAAGTTTATGTATTTTTATTTGTCCTGCTGTGTGTCTGAAAAACAATGATTTTTAAAAATATGTTTACCTCTTTCTGATTTATATAGATAAAAAGCTATAGTTTATTTAAAAATATTGTTTAGTTATAATTTAATTTTAATTATAATAATAGGCTATAGTTTATTTTTTAAAGTTATTCCTTGCAATTTAGTAACATGTAAGTATGGAAATCTATTGCATTTTGAAGCATAGAGCCTTTTGTAGTAGAAAAAAACTCAAGTTTTCTCAAAAGTATGAACTATTTCTTTCATCATGTTAAATAGTGTAGGACTAGTAGTTTAAAACAAACAGAATCTATGCTTCCATGTTTTGAATGGTTTTTCTCACACTGTCAGTCTGGTAATAGATTTATCAATTGGCTGTTGATTCTCTTTATGTTCCTCATCTCATTTTAAATGTTCAAGGCCATAGCTTTTTAGAAATGTTTGCCTTTGGCCATTGCCTTGCTAGACTCTGGTGTGGCCATGTGCTCTTTGAGCTATGACTGTCGCCATGTTCCTGGCTTTGGACCCCTCCCTTACCTTGGGGAGGTGTATCTCTTCCTTTTCTCTCTCTCTCTTTCCAATTTACCTTTTAAATAAACTATATTTTCCAGTCTAAAAAAAAAAGTTTGCCTTCAGCCTGGTGTTTTAATAACTCCTTAAATGATTAATTAAATCTATGAAAAAACCTATGATTGTTAAATGATTTTTATTGGGCATTTCATGAAATTTTGAATAGAAATTGCAGTTTTATATTTTCTATTTACAAATATAGCAAAAGATCAATAAGAGAGAACCAAATATATATGAATAGGCTATATTGAGTAAAATGATTTTTTTCCTTCAAGTGGTTAGTATTATTCAATATAGTAAAATTCTAAAAGAGTGTCCCTTATTTTACAGAATATTTGCCTATAACTTTGAGTTCCTTTGGTCATTTCTTGCATAAAGCCAAACTTTGTATTTTTAAAAAATGTAATAGCTTTGGAAATGTAGGGACTTGAACTTGTTGAAAAACTTGACATTTTTTTCCAGTTTTCCTCCTGAACCTATATACTGGTATTAGGACTTACCATATTGGACTATTTTGTTGTTGTTTTAAATGTCTGTAAGTTATCAGACAAATTATAGCTGCTTAAGATCCAATCTATTGGAATAATTAACATCTTTTTGATTTATTAGCATACTAATTTAAATTCCCCCTTACTTCCAAATGAGAACAGTTATTTTATTTTTTTCAATACTAATTGAAGGATGTTTTTATTTTTATTTTTATTAAGACTGGAAAATATAGCTTATTCAGAAAGTAAATTGGAGAGAGAGTGAGGAGATTCACCTCTCCAAGATAGGGGAGGGGTCCAAAGCTTTTGAAAACATGGTGGCTATAGCTCAAAGAACACATGGGCTGGCTTGTGCATAACAAAACAATGGCAAATGGTTGCTTGAGGTTGAATGCTTTTAAACCTTCCCTTTAAATAGGGGTAGGTCATTAAGGTAGTTGGGTGGTGGTTATTTTCATGTCATCACAAAGGGACAGGTAAGCACAGGTACTGAGGTCAAGCAATGGACACTAGGCAGATGAGTAGGCCAGTCACATGATGGCTGCCATAGTGATGGGTTCTGTCCTAGTGGGCTTGACACCCACTGCAGGAGTCCAGGAAGTTTTTACTTTTGTACCAGTGAATTCCTTAATCCATATGTGAATATCCACGCAGCTTGTCTTCAAGTTTCTGTTCTGCAGGCAGCTCAGGAAGAGGGTATAGGGTAGGTGAGGTTCCTGAATCCACTTTTGTTTCTTACCCCACCCTAGAGAGACAGTGATAATGTAGTTTCCTACTAGACAAGGCTGAGGCAACAAGGAGGGGTTCATTCTATGTAGCTCATCATAGGTGATAAGAGTAAGAGTGAGTAGCAGAGAAAAGAGAGCCAACAAGCACCTTGTCTCTTTCCATAGAGAGACTTGGGTTGGAAAAGAGAGAGAGAGTATGGCAGATCTTGCTGGGACCTCCAAAAATGTTAGGTCAAAATTCCAGCAGGGCCTTTAAATGTTAGGTCAGACCTGACTGGGGGTCTGTTTGTGATCCGGTGCCATGTGAAAAATGAGATGAATTGCACAGAAGTTAGATTGGAAAATGTAGTTTATTCAGAAAGTAAATTGGAACGAGGG